AAGCAATCAAAACAGTGGAAAAATGACATCCCATTCCTTTACCTTTGTCAGTGTGCTTCAGTTGGAAGTTCTCATCAGCGAATTTTTCACCATAGATTGACTTGCCGCCAGTTCCGTTTCCTCTGGTAAAATCACCTCCCTGRAAAATTAAGGCACCAACGTGTTACGCGATGTTTTCACACTGCAGTTTTCGATATTCTGTAAACTCGGACATTTCAATGGACTAGTTGTAAAATTGATTTTCACTGCCACCAGTTAAGAGCATAAAATGTACCAAATGATTACTTTTGATTGGCGGCAGCGAAAAACCAAATTTCTGCGTGCAGCTTGTAACTACCGAGTTAACAGAATATCAAAAACTGCAGTAAGTTCTCAATTTTAAAAAAAGTGTAAAATTAAAGTGTGGAAAAAAAAAAGATTTGTGAAAATATAATTTATTTTTTATAAGCTTTGTCACATGGGCTGGGAAACCAAACACACATACAGCAAAACTCCACTGTGGGGAGCCAAAATTGGGGGGGGATAGCAAGAGTAAAGCTATAATGTCAGAAGTCGCATGTAATTGAAAGTTCTGCTTATGCTTTGCAATCTTGAGTGAATATATTTTTTCATATTCCACATCCTAACAGAAGAGTCCTGTCAGCATGTCAGGCCAGACTGAATATTCACCAGTCAAAACTACTATTATCATATGACCCGTACGGCCCTGCTCGCGCGCTCTAATAAAACCATTGAAAAAAGTCACGTGATGGGGGCCGGACGGGTTGACGTAAGCGGGCCGGAAAAACCCGTCCGGCCCTGCTCGAATCCGCGCGCTTTCTCTTTTTTAGCTGTTATTTACTATTTCTTTCTTTCTTCTATTTTTTATCGATTTTTTCGTGAGGGTCATATGATAAAATGCTTATTGACTGAGTTAGGTCGGGCCGTACGGGAAAATATTTGGCTCTCGGTCATTTGTACGGCATCACCTCGAGCCAAATATTTTCCCGTACGGCCCTCCCACTCAGTCAATAAGTACATAGTATTTACTGGACAACTGTCCAACATCTGGAGCTAATCAAGCCCTGGATATTGAAGTCTATTTCTTTACAGAATTAGTTTGTTTTGAATTATTAATGAAATTGTAAAATTGAAGCGAGTTAGAAAAGCAAATTATTCAATCACCCTTCTGACAATATTCGCAGTATTGATTCTACATGAGAGCATTGGGGAAAACCATGAYACATTTCAAATTTAATTCATCTGTGCCAGTAATATTTTGTATGTCAAATGATTACTCCTCATAGGTCACAGCATTAGCATATGGCATGGAAAAAGCTTTATAACTTCCAGAAGCTGCACTCAAAGATATAATTATTTTCAGGTTATACAACATCTTACCCCATGTAGAATCAATACTGTGAATATTGTCAGAAGGGTGAAAGGCACTTAAGGTGTCATAAAATACCCTACCTTCAAAATATATAAAATCAACATGTCTCCATTTACATTGGAGAGGGAGGGGGGTCCTACAAAGGGGGATACCCATCATTATAAGACAATCAATGTCCTTCAATCTTTCATTAGAATGATAACATAACATTCTTACAAGGTGGAAGGTACCAAGCAACTATCAAGAGATCTTTTTCATATACATACCTGACACATGAAGCCTGGAATGACACGATGGAATACAGATCCCTTGTAGCCAAAGCCCTTCTCTCCRGTACACAAGGCACGGAAGTTTTCTATGAAAAAATTGGAATTAGACTTTTTATAACACACTCAACAAAATTACTCAATTCTGATTGGACAAGAGGAGTACAATTAAATCCCAAATTGTACTCTGTAGAGTCCCAATTAAGTTGCTCAATTTTGTTGAGTGTATTATAAACAAAAAAATTGCTCAATGTTCTCATACCATTCAGAATTTATAGATACTCCTGATGTTTTGACAGTTCTCATCTCAAATTGGACGCGCCTAAAAGGCTCGTCCAATCTTGAAAACTTTCAAAACATCRCTCGTTTCCATAAATTTGAATTGTACTTCGTGCGATTTCCTATCCACAATACAATTGAACGAAGGAAAAAAAATACGCTTGAACTTGTGATATATCCACTTTATCACTATATGAAGGGGAGTAAATAGATCTATGGTTGGCGGATTTTGCAAATAATTTAGTCAGGATTCCTAACTCAAAGTAAAATTTTAACAGATTGGCGGCAGATCCAAAAAGCAGCAGATTAATCCATTTTTTTGGTCTGGATTTTGTTTTTGCTGGTTATAGAGTTTGGATTGCAGATCTTAAAGTGTGTATGACCTATATTTTTTTATGTTTTGATATCAAAATATAAGCCATTCTAAGAAACACGTCGAAAGAACTTTTTGATTCTGATACCTTTTTAATTTTGTAATGAAATAATGAATGATAAAATAGAAAGTGCATGCATATGCAGTGTGCTCTCATATAGCACAAGCTCCCATCCAATCGTGAGGTTTGTAAAAGGTATTTTATAAAGCATTTTGGTAATAGTGATAAAAGAATTCGATCAAATGCAATCTATATCACCAAGATTTCAGAAAAAAACTGAAAATTTAAATATGTACTCGATCATTTTTTTCGAGCCAAACTATTCCATAATTCATGGTTTTATATTAAAAGCGAAAAGTCAAATAATTTATTCAGAGGAAAAACTCACTTTACACATGCTAAAATTTTTAGCCATATTTAAGGTTTTATAATAATTTAAGGAGGTTTGTAAAGTCGTTCTGCATATAATTTTGGACTTAAAAGAAAAAACGGAGTTACTGTATTAATGGTTATAGATCTATCAAGTTCGAGGGTCTGTCACTTTGGAATTTTTTCGTCAGACACGTTTAAAAATCTGAACCTTAAATCAAAAAATCGTTATACCTACCAGCAGTTTTTGGTACCACATCGGAACGAAGCTAAAACAAAGTCAAAGCAAACAAGTTAAGTATAAAGATGCTGCTGCTTTGAAATCAAAATGAATAAAAAAGGACATTCTAAAACATTCAAAGCGGAACAGCGTGCATGGTCAAAACGTCGAGRCAATTTATTCAACTTTTTAAACGAAAAAAGCTATTTACCTCCATCACGATGCGTCCTAGAGRTTGTCCCCCAGCGCTTATATCGAAATAGACTCTTGGTAAAACCATGATTGTGGTGCAAAGGCTTGCTAAAGTTGGAGAAAAGTTGAAAAAATTTTCGACAAGGAAACTCCCTTCTRCAGTTGAAAGAGAAGAAGGACGAAAAGAGCTCAGCACGTGGTTTTATGACAAGCGCGCCCCCCGAAGATATACGATACTACGCTCAATGTAATTGGATAATATCCTCAATTTTAGACCAATCAGAAAGACAGTTATAAAAAAGGACACTAAATCCGTTAAAAAGTACTAAATGTGCTAAWTCTTTGTTTCTATTGTTAAAAGTACAATTTAACACTGATTAGTGAGTATTTTTTCACGGGCTTATTGTCTGTATTCTTTTTTATTATYTTATGCCTCAGTAGTCATCGTTCTGGACGCGTAACACAGGTAGCCCAAAGCAATTTTTTTTAAACCTTTTCTTGACTAGCCCAACAAAGTGGTCCTAGCCGACTTAAGTCCAGAATATGTGCTATCAGACTAGTGGGGTTATAACTGGGTATGCGTATGACTCTGGAAGGATATTTGTGTTAGTAGACTAGTAGGTTTATAACCAGGGGTACTTATAATTGGAAGTATATTTGCATTAGTAGACTAGTGGGATTATAACCAGGGGGGGTTATAACTGGAAGGATATTTGTGTTAGTAGACTAGTGGGGTTATAACCAGGGGGGGTTATAACTGGAAGTATATTTGCATTAGCAGACTAGAGGACTTATAACCAGGGGGGTTATAACTGGAAGGATATTTGTGTTATCAGACTAGTGGGGTTATAACCGGGTATGCGTATCACTCTGGAAGGATATTTGTGTTAGTAGACTAGTAGGTTTATAACCAGGGGTACTTATAACTGGAAGTATATTTGCATTAGTAGACTAGTGGGATTATAACCAGGGGGGGTTATAACTGGAAGGATATTTATGTTAGTAAACTAGTGGGGTTATAACCAGGGGGGTTATAACAGGAAGGATATTTGTGTTAGTAGACTAGTGGGGTTATAACCAGGGGGGCCTATAACTGGAAGGATATTTGTGTTAGTAGACTAGTGGGATTATAACCAGGGGGGTTATAACTGGAATTATATTTGCATTAGCAGACTAGATGGCTTATAACCAGGTGGGTTATAACTGGAAATATTAACTGTTAACAAATATCTTATAACTAAGATTTTGCAGTACTTTCATTCTCACTTCATGGGTAGAAGACCTAGGGTAGCATATACGAATAAACACATGAAAATAAACAATTTTGAAATGTAGTGGAACTAATGACTTTTATTCAGTTATTTYAAGTTTTTAACAAAAAAACATTGACATCCAAATTATATACATTCTAGTTATATAATAGTTTGAAGTAGATATGATAAATACACATTAGTAGACCCTAATAGACCGTTTGCATG